ATTTTAGACCCAATGGTAGAAAAATTATCACTTTAATGGACAATTTTCATAAAAAAATAAAATCAAACGGACACCAAACTTTCAACATTTTCCAGTGGAAAATTATACAAATCAAACACAATTAATTACAATTCCCAGTAAAACAATTTCTAAATAATTCAATTCCCTATAATTCATTTTCTTTCCACCAATTTTTCACATTTGCAATCAAACGGACCCTTACATATTTCGACAATAACATTTTGAATGTTTAAAGATAAAATGCCATAAAGTATGTTACACAATTACAAAATATTGTTTTATTTAAAAGATGATACTATTATTTTAATTAACATAACAAAACATTTCCCACTTAAAATTTCAAAGTCAACTAATTTTTTTTTTATCTGTTTATTTCAACAAATATAAAAACTCTCTTATTTTTCATTTGTTTTAACCTCAAAAGCTCATAAATTTATCAAACGCTGAAGAGATTAGGGTACGTTCCTTCCACGAACGTCATCCTCTTCGCTTCAACTGTAAAGGGAGAATCGACGTACTGTGATGACAATCTCGACTTCTTGCTGACCACGGACATCCTCTCCTCATCCGCCACCCACTCAGTCTCAGGCACATCCTGTGCCTCGAGGCTCGCCACCCTCTCCGTCCTTCATTATCCGCCACCTCTCTCGTCCTCATCGGGGCCATCCCCTCCCATTCCACAGATAACAAAAATAATTTTAATGCACCCCTATTTGCCCACAACGGTGGGTGACCTCACTCTCCATCACCCCGTCTGCCTGCTATATCGTCTTGGAGTGCTGCGACCTCATCCTGCAAGTCTACTAAATGGCATCGTAGCACTCCAACATCATGGGATAAATTTGCTACCTCGCCTCTCAACTCTCATCGTAGTAACCTTATCTCCTCTCCCAACTCATCTCGTAACGCTCCCACCTCCTCTCTCAACTCTCATTGTAACGCTCTCACCTCCTCTCTAATAAATCCAGTCATGTGGACATACAGATCATTGAAATAATGACTCTGACTATGTGCAAGAGATCCACGAGGAAGGTGTCTGGATGGGAGAGAAGGAGATGTCATCGATGGATGTGATATACAAGACGAAGGTGATCGTCGATCAATTATTAACTTAATTAAAATATGCTAACTCATAAAAAATGGTAATTAACAAATTATATTCAATTCACATACACAATCTCGATTCATATTGGAATTGGACATCTGATCTTCTTGAGTATGCGGAACGGCTAATTCACGCACAAAATCTCAACCTTCCTCCTCGGTCGACAACGTCAACTCAATTAGGACTTTAAGCTGACATATAAACATTTCAATTAGTTAATGATCATGTGCTGAAAGTTTGAAACGACATACAATATAAATCGCAAATGTATAATACTCACCTGAGGGTCGACGAGGAAAGCTGATAATTGTTTGTCAAATGGACAACCTCTGCTCAGGATGCCCGCCAATAATGCATTCGAGGACAACGTGTCTTCCCTCTCCTCGCAATCGGGTACCCAAGAGGGGGGCAGTCTCATATGCCCAAATATGCAACAAATACAATTACTATATATAAATTTATTATAAAAAATATTTTAACGTTGATTATATTAAACATTTGCATGCATTGCCAAAGACAATTCATAAGTATCGTACTTACGCAAGAACCCCTTGTATTTCGAATGTGATCTGGTGAAGACATGTATAATGTCCTCAAAATATCACCAAACCCACGGATAGTTGTTGAAGGCATATATGTCGTCAACAACTTTCAAAATGAAAAGGGTCAATCGCAGTATTTTTGTGATGACACTTCACCACGCTCTCAATGATATAGACCAATCCTAATTTCAATCTATCCAACCTCTGGCCGCACTCCTTGATTGCGCCAATCAACTGCGGTAGAAGCAACATCCTATGTCCCTAAAAATACGCATCGTACAGCCTAATGTTTCTTTGAGTACTGTCATTAACTGCTTCATCGCCCGTAATCTTCAGTTCAGTCATCAGGGCAAACTCAAATATAGAGAAAGTAGCGACCTTGCCTTCGAGGTCGAAGTGTAGAGCATCACCGTCGACTGGCCTAAACAGCTGACATAATAATGCACCAATGTTCTGCCCGGAGTATTGCACCTCTCTCAACTAATACAGGAGCCACTGGAAGGACTGGTGTAACATATCTCCATGCTAATTATTGAGCAACTCCAATACAATAGTAAAACTCTCAAAGCTACCATTCCAGTACATTTCCTGCCATCTATCTCAACTCAACATCTAGAATGTACTATATCGTGTAAATATTCAAATATTAGAACATTCAACAATAGATAATATAATAAAACATAATTTTAGAAAATTAAGCGAACCGAATTGTAACTACTATATGCAAGAAATAGATTCATTTTACACCGACGCTAATATAAAAATAAACAATTTAACAAATTAAAGGAGAAAAAAAAAAAGAATAACAAACAAAAATAAGAAAAAAATAAAAAATAAAAGAAAAAAAAAAAAAAAACTAAAAAAAAAAAAAAGAAAATAAAAAAATAAAATAATAAAAAATTAAAGAAAATAATTAAAAAATATAAAAACTAAAAAAACAATATAAATAATCGTTTTAAATTGAAAAAAAAATGAAATTATGATAAACAGAAAATAATTAAGAAATTAAAAAAATAATAAAGCAAGAATAATAAAGAGTATTTTAAATTGAGAAAAAATTAAATTATAATAAGAAAAAAACAATTAAGGATTTTTTTTAAATTATTAACAAAAAAATAATAAAACAAAAGGAAATTATAAAAATTAAATAAAGAATATATATATTATTTAATGAAAATTGAAAAAAATAAAAATTTGTTTTAAAAATATTTAATTAAAAAGAATTTTAAATTGAAAAAAATAAAAGGAAAATAAAGAATTTTGTAATTTCGTCGAAAAATCGTCATTTTCGATGAGAATAAGCTATTGTCAGACAAATTTAACACTAAGTCATTATCCCACTCAATAATTTACCTAAATAATGAAGAATAAACACTATAAATATAATAAAATCCACAAATTTTTGAAACGTCATAAACGAAAAATCAATCTCATAATTCACAAAAAAAAAAACTAATTATGTTGAAAATAATGCCGCCGGTGACTGGGTTGTGTGGTGATCAAGCTGTGAGGATAACGACGTGAACTGAATCTCGACTGTTAGAGAATGTGTGAGTTTTTTCTTTTCTTCCTCTCCACTTTTCACTTTTACAAAGATAAGATGATGGTATTATTGGTTTTTGATATTTAACTTGGTAATTTTAACTTTCACTTTCTTTTTAATGGTCAAAGGCCATAATGAAAATATAGTCGAGTCAACCAACAATTTCCATGTATTTCATTGATTTCTGAGTTCAGCTATACATGGGGGAGGGGGGAGCTCAATCGGCTCGATTTACTTAACCCATATTTGAGCCCCATTTTTTGGTCAAAATACATTTTGGAATGAGAAAATTCATATATAAGAGATTAAGCTCATGTTTGGCTCCCATTAAATTTTAATTCATTTTTTTCTCTCCACTTATCAACCACGGATTC